GTGTGTGTTGTGGGCACGGTTAAAACTTTATGCCTTCATTAAAACTTTGTCCGGCGTTTCTACAGCAACCAGCTCCTTCCTGGTCTGCTGCTCGGTCCACATGTCCTCCTCACACTTCACTCTGTCTTTCCCTTCATGTTCACTGTTGTTTTTTTTTGTTTTGTTTTTCTTTTCAGACGCCTGCTGCACAACTGGTAAAACGCGCCTCTTGTTTTGCTGATGCGCGCCTCCTTTTCACATTCTGTAATCTGTACATCAACTACCTCCTCCTCCTCCTCCTCCTCCTCCTCCTCTGATGTATCTCTCCGTCCCCCTCCCTTTCTTTCTCGCTCCTCTCCACACTGCTGTGTGTGGGTGTTAAGCTCAGGCTGTACTTTCCATTTTGGTACTGTATTGTGGATGCATTGTTGCATGCAATCCAGTTAAGATGCTGTGGGAATACTGTATGTTTCCCTCTCTCTCTCCCTCTCTCTCTCTCTGTGTACACCCCCCCTTAAAGAAAAGACTTCTGGAATAGGAGCCAGTTGCTAGGTAACGGTTAATTGTCAAGAAGTAGTTACATGTGTTGCGATGCATCCCGAGGTTGTGGGTTTCGGTGCAGGGATGGCAAAAGCAAAGCAGACGCCTCGGTGAGAGAGAGAGAGAGAGAGAGAGAGAATAGGAGAGTGAACAGAGGGTGGATTTTTAGAGAGCAGACTAAACTGATTAAAAGATTATTCTTACAGCCTCACCTCCTGTGTTTCAGCCAGTCAGGATGCAGACAAAAACTCCTCGACCACATCTATATCAGAGACACTGATGCATTTCCAAACCTGTTATGTGGTTTCCTTAAATAACTCCTGTTGCTGTAGGAGGTTTTTCAGAGAGGGACTGGGGAGAGAGAGGAGGGGAGAGGAGGGGAGGGAGAGAGGGTTTGATGGGTTCTTTGATCTGTGCTCAGCTTGGTTTTTCATCACCTCTTCTTTCCCCCTGAATCCACAGCTCAACACTGCCCTCCACCTCCTTTGGGTCAGTGTATCTTTTTTGTTCTCCTCCAGCTTTGGTCCCCGCAGAGGAGAAAAGACGGACGATGAAGTGAATGAGGACGCGTGACATCACTGTTCTGCAGTTGTCATCAATCACTTACTAATTAACTGGGAGTCACATTAACGGGATCTTCTTCTATGGTGCAATTCAAAGTCAGAGATAAGGATACGTCCAACTGTTAATTCACCAGGCACCGCTCATACAAATACCTGATCGACCAATCACAAAGCAGCAACCTGATGGACTCAGACACGTTGACGTGGCTGAGATGACCTGCTGCAGTCAGAAGAAAAACATCAGAAAAGTTTAGGACAAGTTCATTTAAAGTGACCACGGATGAAAATCTAAAAAGGAGAAAATATCATGTCATTTATCTGGAAAACTCATTCATTCCATGTCAGGGAATAATGGCTAAACTAAAATTAGCTGAAAGGATGGCATCAGTAAGTGTGGCTGTAACTCAGCGGTTACTGCAGTTGCCTTACAAAAATGAATGGTTGAAGGATTGATTCTAGCTAGTTTAATGTTATATTTATACCGGTCGCGACCCAGTCTTTGGGAAACAATGGGTTAACGATACAAGTTGGACATTACGTAACATTTTGTCACTGACTGCCTTTATTCCTATACAACATGTTGTCCATTCCTCTGATGTCCCCTGTCAAATTGCTCAGATTTCTCAAATAATGGCTCCAGACCTTAGTCCTATTAAAAAGCTTTGAAATGTCACGGCACTTGAGATTCGTGTCCGAAATGTGAGGCTTTTTAATCTGCAGTCAGTGTTCGATTCCTTTACATTAACATGGCAAGAAATGTCTCCACATTTTCTTCAGCAAAACTGGCGAAAAGGATCGGCGTCAATCTGTGGTCAATACAAATAAAGCAAAACATGCTTGAATGTTGTTGTTTTTTTATTTATACTCAACACTTTTATTCCAAAGAGACAGAAGAATAATATTTCCCAGCACTGATTTTCACACGACTGTGTTTTCTTGTTTTTAAATATTACTAAATATTCAATCAAATTTGAAATACTCTCTTCACACAAGTACTTTCCCTCCATACAAAAAATGTGAGGGTAAACTAGGTTTCTGTTGTATGTACATTTTTCACAGTCTGTACAGCTCAGGGATGTTGTTCAACTGTCTGGAGCAAAACAGGGAGAAAAAACCCTCCAAAAATGCTTACTTTTGTGCTTTCTGTGTACCCAGCTGCGTTTTTCAATTTGTCCTGTGAGACAACATCCGTCCAAGTCTACAAATGAAATTAAAAGGGGAAATAAAAACACATTAAGAAAACATTGACTTCTGAAATAAGCACGGTGGGAAATGATTGCACAAGTCCTGGCCTGAAGTCGTAACAAAAGCAATTTTTTTCTGGGGGGAACCAAACCAATCAAAGACGTATCCCAAATAGATCTATTCTCTGTTTTCTACGAGTTTTTCTTTTTGTTATCAAAAATCCATGAGCTGGAGGTAAAATATTTACATCTTTTTTATAATACACCGACAACAAATTGTCATCTCTCTCTCTCTCTCACACACACACACACACTCGGCCTCTCCCCCGTATGAGCACTCACAGAGGTAATCAAGCGTATGAATCCAGGCACATACAATAACAGGAATAATGAGATATATTTAAAGGATAAAAAACAAAACAGTAGCTATCGGAAGTAAAGAGGTCTTTTCAGCGATGGATGTAGTCAGACCTTAAAAAAGCATTTACCAAAAAATAATAAAAAACCAAGAAAACCAAGCCTTGTATAACAGCAACAATAAAAAAGTTTTTTTTATCCTAGTTTAATTTTTTTTTAGAAATTAATTTAGTCATATTTATTTGATTAAAGCCAAACCAAACTGTTAAGATTTGTGTCGTCTCTTGCACAAACAACCACACACGCGCACTAACAGTACCACATGGACTACCATCAGTACCAGTACCAGAGAAAGTAATAAAACTTCACATATCGCTGGAAAATGCCCAAACTTTTCCAAGCTAAAGATTAAAAAATGAACAAGAACAACTTATTCAAAAATAAATGTCAATACATGCAAGTTCTTCTTACAAAACCCTAAGTATCATACACACTGACTGGTCAAGAAGGAGAAGGTTTGAGAGTGATGTACAAAAATTCAATGATCTGTCAGATTGTGCTTTGATCTTTACCACAGCAGTCGCTTTAAAGTCAGCTCTGAGTGGCAATAAATAACATTAAAATTCTGTGTAGTTTGTTTGAAATACACACCATACGTCATAAATGGTTTGCATTTGTCTGTATAATGTGGCCAGTGTGTCTGATGTTATTGGATTTGGTCTCATATGGCGTATGTTTTGTTTTTTTTACCACCTGCTTTTAATTCCCTTCACTGATTTACTCTTCGCTATTTTTTATTTTTTATTACTCACAAATAATACAATAAAGAGCGGAGAAGAAATGTTAGCCTCCAGAGAGAAATTACATTTTCGTACATGTGATTATTTTGTCTTTTTTTCCCCCTTCTGTGTAGAATATGAGTCAGAGCATCATGGGAGAAAAACAATCACTGTGATCTGATAATAAAAGCACTTTCCTTCTATGGCTGAAAGACTTTGTGTGTAATCAGCATTTTGTGGAGAATCAGATCAGATGATTCACAGTCTCCGTTTGAAACGTCTAAAACTTATTATGAAGCTATAAATAACATGTGGGTCACTGACGGAGGAAGATCTAACCTGGCCGTGTCCACGCAGCTCCTCAACGAGACGCCGCGGAACACGATCACGATCTAAGTTTCTGTGTTAAAAGCTGGCTCTTCTTATCTTCGGACAAAGCCAGAGCTATCTTCGTCTCTGATTTGTCCCAGTTTCTTTTTTGTTTTTATGCAAAGATAAGCTAACCGCAATAACTGATAAAAATCAGTCCTGCTGATCACCCTCTCTCCCAGCTCTACATGTTTTTCTCAATTTGTCGAAATGTTCCTTTACAGCGCAGCAGGAAACCTTTCTGTCCACTGTGTAGGTTTTTAAAAAAAGTTAAAAAAAAAGTGTTTGATCTGATTTATCAGCCCAAATCCCATTGGGATGTGGAGGCGATTTGATTTAAAAATTGGTACTGTGTCATGTTTATGCGAAAAATTAGGGAAAGGAACACTTTCTTTTGAAATGTAGCTGTAAAAAAAAGAAACCGTCCATCGTTTACTCCCATTGAGGCGTCAGAAGAGACATTTCATTTTCATTTCTAAAGTGTTATTTCTTCTTAAANATCATGGCACTGTGGTTTTAACCCTTGTAATCCTGCTGTTTTTTTTCCACTGTTGGGGTTGGGGAGCGTTAATGCAGCAATTTATGTTTCTTCCACTACAAGAGCTCTGTCTTTTCTCTGTGTGTTTTACTGACTGGTCAAAGCCTATTGTCCTGAAAAGGCTCTACTCGCACACTTTTCTTGTTGTCGTTGTTGCATCTATTCACTTGAATAAACCGATAGTTTATAAGAGGATCTGTCGACTGAAAGAAAAGAGCTTTTCTTTGTGGAAAATCAGTGTTAATCCTTTAAGGCACATCCAGCTCAGAATGTGAGACCCTTTTGGTACTGCCCAGCAGAAAAAAAACCCCAGAGCAAACGGCAAATCATTATTATGGTGATGTTGTTCGGTAGCTGAAAGAAAATCCCACTTTGGAAATTTGTACTGAGCAAGTCATGCCTGTCACATACACTTCACAGCACTCCAAAGAAAGAAGTAAAAAAAAAAAAAATCAAACATGGAGAATAAATAGCAAAGAAGAGCCCAAATTACAGGAACCCACCCCAAACCCCCCCCCCCACCCCAAAAAACCTCCC